AATCCCCCAGCACCACATGCCAGCCAGCCCCACCCCCTGGTGGGCTGAGCTGGCCACACACACACACACACACACACACACACATAAATAAATAAGTAAAATTTAAAAAAAATAAAAAAATAAACTGAAGGGGGCCAGGGAGAGGGCTCAGTGGAATATGCACTTCCCTGGCAAGCGCAAGGGTCTGAGTTCATTCCCTGGTTCTGCAAAAAAAAAAAAAAAAAGAAAGAGAAAAGAAAAGAAATATGATGTATTGATACTAAGGGTCTACAGGGTCTCACTTGGATTGGACTCGAAGTGATCTGCCTGTGTTCACCCTCAGTATACAGTTGAGGCTGGTCTTGAGCTCACGATGCACCACAGACTGGCCTCAAACTTGAAGCCATCCTGTCTCAGCCTCCTGACTGCTAGAATTACAAGTGTGGGCCACTGTTCCTGATGAATAATACATTTCTTTACTGTCCTTTTTAATTTTTAAAACTAAGAGAGACTGAGGCAAGAGGCTTACAGCAAGTTAACAGTAAACAGATGTATGAGATAAAACTGCAAAGTGTAGCCCAGCATGGTGGCACGTGCCTATAATCCCAGGAATGGGGAGACTGAGGCAGAAGGATCCCTGTGAATTCAAGACCAACCTTGGCTACATAGTGAGTTCAAGGCTTGCCTGAACTACATGGTGAGACCCTGCTTCAAACCCTCAAACAAATCAGAAAAAAAGTGAGATATAGGATACTATTATGCTTCCATTTATGTATGAATTTTTAAAGAAAGAAAACTGGGAAGAATATATATATATATATATATATATATATATATATATATATATATATATATCGTCTCTGAAGCATACACAAAACCACATGATATTGATGCAATGGGGAAACTCGGATCTGAAATGGGATGGAAGAGACATTTGCATTTTACTGATGTTACTATATATCCCTTGATTTGTTGTTGTTTCAGGTGGGATTTTTTTTTTTTTTTGAGACAGGGTCTCACTATGTAGTACAGGCTGCCATTGAACTCACTTATGTAGCCCAGGCTGACCTGGAACTCATGGCAATCCTCCTGCCACAGCCTCCTGAGTGCTGGGATTATGGCGGGGGTGGGGTGCCTGCCGTATTCAGTGAGTTCTTTTTTTTTTTTTTAATGTTATGAATTGCTGGTCATGGTGGCTCATGACTATAATCCCAGTACTCAGCAAGCTAACACAGGAGGATCATTGCAAGTTCGAGACCAGCCTGGGTTACAAAGTGAGCTAAAGGCCAGACTAAACTGCATAGTGAGACCCTATTTCAAAAGGAAAATTAATTAATTAATGGTGCAGAATGTAAAAATTCAGGACCTTGATTATATTAGACAAGCCTTCTGCTACTAAGCTACATCTCTGACTTTCTTATTTTATTTTTATTTTACGTATTTTGGTATACGGTCTCACAGTGCAGCGCAGACTCCTAGTGATCCTCTTGTTTTAGCCTCCCCAGAACTGGGATTACAGGCATGCACCACCACACCTGGGCTCAGTGGCCTGCGCAGCATACCCGGGGTGTACTGGGGATTAAACCCGGGTCCTTGCGCCTGCCAGGCAGGCACTTAGAACGCTAAGCAATATTATCTCTCCAGCCTCTGACTCTCTCTCTCTTTTTTTTTTTAACAGTTACCAATATATTGTAGTTTAATTGAAACACAGCTTACATAGTTCACTGAAAAAGTATCTTAGTATAAACATTATTTGTACATAAAACCAAATGTGTCGATGCTCTAGTTCTAAATGACTCTCTTAGTTTATTAAAAACAATTGTTTTTAAAATAATCCCCTAAATGCTGAGATTACTTGTGTGCACTCCCATACCATACTTGATGATTTTGAAATAGGCACCGTATAGGTCCTGGGAGTATAGCTCAGAGGTAGAGTGTTTGCTTCATGTAGGAAGTCTCTGACATGAGCTCCCAGCATCATCAGAAATAGCCAGGTGTGGTGGTCCCTGTCTAAAATTAAAAATCTAGGGGCCGGGAAGATGGCTCAGTGGAATAAGCGCTTCCCTG